CACTGGAGAGAGCGCTGTGCCCGTCATCACCACCTTCCCGGGGGACCTGCCCGTCCACTTGCTAAGCCGTCAGCCTGCAGGAGACACAGACCTCACGTCCAAGTTGGACCTGAGCTGCAGGAAATGGAGTCATTTGCCTTTTTCCCAGCTGACCACGGGACCCGTGCCTAGAACCTGTATTCGAATTTGGAGGCTCATTGCCGGCCGGTGTGGCTCAGTGGACTGAGCGTCGTCCCACAGACCGAGAGGTCCCAGCTTGATTCCCGGTCAGGGCACCTGCCTGGGTTTTGGGTTCAGTCCCCAGTGAGGGGCGTGCAAGAGGTGGCCAGTCGATGCTTCTCTCTCACATCGACGTTTCTCCCTCTGCCTCCCTCTCCCTCTCAAAAATCAGTAACAACATATTTATTGATGTGATTACTTTTTAAAATCCTCACCCAAGGATATTTTTCCATTTATCTTCAGATAGAGTGGGAGGGAGGAAGAGAGAAACATCGACGTGAGGGAGACACATTGACCGGCTGCCTCACACACGACCCTGAACGGGGCCGGAGACTGAACCACAACCCAGGTACGTGCCCCTGACTGAAATCGAACCCGTAACTCTTTGGTCTGCGAGCCAAGACTCTAAACCAGCAAGGGCAAAAAACATTAAAAAAAAAATTTGGAGGCATCTTAATATGTTTTTAAAAAAAAAAAAAACTCTATGACTTCACCCTCTGGTCCTTAGCAAAAGGAACTCTAGCCCTGGCCGGTTTGGCTCAGCAGTTAGAGCGTCGGCCCAAGGACCAAGGACCGCAGAGTTGCAGGTTGGATTCCGGCCAAGGGCACATACCTCGGTTGCAGTTCGTCCCCAGCCCTGGTCGGGTCCTGCGGGAGGCAACCAGTCGATGTGTCTCTCTCAGACTGATGTTCCTCTTTCTCCCTCCCTTCCTCCCTCCCTCCCTTCCACTTTCTCTAAAAATCAATGGAAAACGTCCCCCAGTGAGGACTAACAAACACGAAGAACCACCCTCGGTGGTGGAACACGTGAGCTCGCTGGGAAATGCTTCCTGAGCACACTGTCCACGACCCGAGCTGGCTGGTCTGTGCAGGGGCTGCCGGGGTGACAGCTGGGAGCTCACTCTCCACGGAAAGACAGACTATGGCTCGGACCCCGTCTTTTCACTTCTGGGTGACGTGGGGCCCGTTACCCAAACGCCCCTCGTCCCCCCCGGTGATGCAATCGCCCCATGTCTGTCTTCTGTGGCTCGTGACGCACCCAGGACAGTGCTGGGGCAGCTGGTGCTCAGTCAGGGGCAGGTGCGGTCAGCAGAGCGGATGCCCATCGCCGTGCTCAGTGCTCCTTGATTTCTTTACACGTGAGACTTCGTGGCTGGGGCTGAGCTGAGGGGAGCCCTACGAACCCCAGGGGTGCAGACTCGAGCTCCCCCTGCCTCGGCCAGCGTGGGACTCACGTGGTGGGGGAGGTGTTTACTCACGGCTACGTTGTGTGCGAAGTGGCAGACAGTCCCAGGCGGGGCTGGACAGTGGCCTCCAGCAAGTTCCCCCCGACTCACGGCTTCTGGGGAGACCAGCGGAGGGAGTGAGGAGCTGGGCCAGTGCCCAGGTCAGCAGGGAGGGCGGAGGGCAGACAGGAAGGACAGGGAAGGAGAAGGCTGGGGAGGATTTTTACTGAGCACTTACTTTGTGCCAAGCACTGTCTTCTTCACGATTCCCAACGACCCCACGGTCATGATTGTCGTGGTGGTGGTTACGGCCGTTACAGAGCAGAGAAAACTCGGAGAACTTGGGGATCAGGCAGGATCACGGAGCTGGGCTGCGGCAGGGTGGTTAGAGCCAGGCCGTTTAGCAGGCCAGTGACCAGGCGCAGACGTACGGCCCCTGCTTGGGGACACGCCTGGAGGGCTGCCGAGCACCTGGTTTTGTAGCTGCACTGGGAACCGTCGATTCTCAACACAACGTCCATTGCGAAGTAAACTTCATTTTAGTCTTTCACGCCTTAAAGGGGAAGGAGAGGTTGTGGACAGGCTAATGAACTGCTAGGGTATCTTACTTGGGTTCAAAGGCATAGGAAATGGCAGAATTCTTGGGGAGTCTCTGGACAGGAGGAACTGTCCCGTCCCCATTTGATAGTCATGGCAATACGCAATGTAGGGTCGAACGTCACGCCCTCAGGATGTTTGCTCCCCTCCTCCTCTTGGGAAGCAGGCAGGACCCTCACAAAGACAGTGTGGCTCTCCACACGCGGCCGCCGCTGCTAGGGGAGGAGCGGACTAGGACCCTAGACTGTTTCCGGGGGGACCCTCGGTGGACACGGCCCGCCTCCCGCATCCCGGCGACACTCAGACACCCCAGCACACACGTTTCCCCTCTGCACAGTGAGACTGCTTTTCTGCAGACCCACGGACCGGGCCCTATTGTCTCCCACAGGACGGTCCGCTGTCCCCAGCTCGGTGCATGCACATTGCAAGTCGGGGGAAGGGAGGTGGCTGGCTGAGCCGTCGGCCATTTCAACAAAGGCTCCTCACTGCTTTCTTCCTCCGCGTCAGTCTCCTCGATGAAAAATGGCCACAGGCAGGATTTTCTGAAATGAGGTTCAAGTTCAGAATAATCCCAATATAAGCATCTTAGGACATGGGCTCGCTGTACCCGTTTCTACTTAAGACCGTGTATGGTGGCGATTTAAGCCCTGGATAATGAGGTTTAAGAAATCCAGGCGCGAAATAGAAGCGTCCTCAAATGGCAGCAGTAATGAGAATTCTATTTATGGGGCGAAAGCACGGGCTTGTGGCACGGTTCTGCTGCAGTCTGCAGACTTCGGTCTAGCTGCCAGTGAAGGCGAGCTAGGCCAGAGGGTAACCAGTGCATCCCTGCCTTGGATCAGATGAGTAGACCAGAGCAGGGGGCGTGTCCTGGTTGATGGGGAGCTTATTAAAGAGGCAAGAAACAGAGAGGTGGGGAAGGGAGGGAGGGAGGGAGCTGTGCTTGTATTGTCTGGTCCCATTTCACCACGGTGGGGAGCCTGTTTCTGGCCGACCCTCGGGAAGCCGAGGTCCGTGAGGGCCTCATCCAGCGGCCGGAAACACCGCCTGAGAACCTGGCTTCCGACGGGTTTTCTTTACCGAGGTTGGTACCCAGCTCCATGCCCACCTCGTGTTTGTGAAATAATAAAGAAGGGGGAGGAGTTGGAGCCTTTTGGGGAAGGGAGATGTGGTCAGAAATGGAGTCTTTCTTTTTCTTTTTCTTAAATCCTCTTCCAGGGATATTTTTCCACGTGTCTTCAGATAGAGAGGGAGGGAGGGAGAGAAACATCGATGTGAGAGAGACACATCGACTGGCTGCTTCCCACACTGCGCGACCAAGGCCAGGGACTGAACCGCAACCGAGGTCCGTGCCCTTGGCCTGAATCGAACCCGCAACTCTCTGGTCCATGGGCCGACGGTCTAACCGCTGAGCCAAACCGGCCGGGGCAGAACTTCCCTTTCACTTTGGTAGTTTGGTATTCCATAAAGTACACGGACAGAAAGCAGTTACGTGAGGTTAATGGTGGCAGGAGTATGCGTCTCACTAAGACGTGCACCTCGCTCTGCGGTACGCACAGAGGCTCTTCACAAGGACGGGACGTGTGTCAGGACGCAAGGTCTGTGTCCCCACATGGTGACTCTGGAGCCGTAGGGGAAGGCAAGTATTGATCCGGGTGTTTCCTGCAAACACGCCGCGTGCCTGTAGGACTTCCTACACCGACAGCTCGCTGACCTGCACAGAAGCTTCGACGTAGTCGTCCGGCAGGTCTCCCCGGGGCTCGCCCCGTTTTCTTGCTCTTTGCGGCCTCTCCGGGGTCAGCACAGCCGAGTCTCTGCAGCGGGGTCACCACCCGAGCTCTGCAGACTCTTGTCCACCACTTTGCGTGTGGTCAGAGGTGCCTCCTGATTCACGCCTGTCAACGTGAAAAATACTGCTGTTTCTGCAGAGATGAGAGTTCGGCTTTGCACGTGGCTTTCTTATTATTGTTATTAATTTAAAACCTGTTTAGAGTATAAGGAGATCACCTGACAGTCTCGAAGGGAATGAAGGGTCACTTGGCAGGAGGAAGGAAGAAAGTTAACGTAGGTGGACTGGGATCTGTTTGATAAATGACAGCGTATTAGGGAATAGGGTCTTGTCATCTTATTTATATTCTGCTTTTCTTTCTGTTATACCTGCAAAAGTGAGGTCTTCTGAACCACAGATTCCTAATCCACTCTTTATTTAGACATGAAGTTTACCTATTGAAAGCTACATTCCCATTAGACATATGCTATTACGCTAAATAAAGGAACCCTACAAATTCTAACCGGAGACAGGGGACAATGTAAAGTCACCTCTTATGACATTGTTGCTTTTCTTTTTATAAAATGGGGTGATGAGCACACTTTCTGAGGCTCATAGAGCAGGGGCACCCAAGTCACGGGGACCCGTTTCAAAGCTGCTCCCCCCGGGGACCTAGCTCACCCGTCACATACATCTTCCGTCGCCTGCTAGGGCCACCTTAGCTTCAGAGAAATCGGTATGATTGTCTTGGGACAAGGCCAACACAGAGAAAGCCCGCTCTGATGTGCCCGTCCTTCAGAGGACGCCCTGACCACGTGTTTCAGCCGAGACACTCCTGACTCTGCAGCCTCGTAGCTCTGTTTCTGTTCCTGCAATTTACAAACACATTGTTCTGCATTGTTTCCGGTGTGTCCCTCCACTAAACCATCAGCAGTGAGGGGGCAGAGAGCATGCCTGTTATGTTCACCAATTTATTCTCTGAACATTGCCCGTGACCTGCCCGCGGCCGCCCCTTAATGAAGCGCCCGGTGCTGAGCGCGTGGCTGGCGCCGGCCCGCGCAGCAGGGAGCTGGCCCCGTGTGCCGGACTAATTGGATCGTTTCCTTGAGAGCAGTGTTTGAGGACACTCTCGTTTACCCTGTTATCACGCGCCTGCGCCGGATCACGTTCTAATGAGTGTAACTGTTTAGTCCAGTCCCCGACATTAGTTGGAGGAGGTTGGACGGAAGCCCGTTGCCAGGGAAGGTCAAGTACAGCGAATCCCAGGCTACCCTTGAAATCCCGAACTTTCAACAGGAAGATGAAGGGTTCTACGAGTGCACGGCGGGCAACCTTCGGGGCAGGAACCTGGCCAAGGGTCAACTCGTCTTCTACGGTGAGCTGACGGCGTGTCAGAAAGCAACACAGCTGGGCTGCCCTTTGTCGTGAACGGGAAGGCCGTTAGCACGTTTCGGCGACAGGGAGGCCAGGGGCCCGGGCTGGGGGGCGGGCTTGCGGGTCCCTCTCAGGCCGGTCCATGCTGCCGGGGCCCAGCGGTGTCGTGGGGAAGCCATAGACGTTGACCCCGCAAAGCCCCGTGGAACCCACTTGCTTCCCATAAAACATCAGCCATGGCCTGTGACTCCCTTCATCACAGAGGCCGGAGAATGTGCCCGGCTCACACTGAAGGGGTCTGGGGGCACCTGCCCTGCTCCCGCATTGTGTCCGCTCCTACGCAGGGAACGGAACACCCCAATGCTGCATTTCAAAACATCCGCCTCCGTTGCCACTCTCGTGGGCTTTAGGGAGATGACAAAGGTCTAGATCACCTGAAAGGTGTCTGCAGGACTTCCCCTGGTATCCAGGCCGAGATCCAACTCTTGCATGCAATTCACCTCTTTTCATCAAATACACTATAAAATAGCGCCCTCCCCCCCAATTATCAAAAGGTTCGGTGCTATTAAAATATTCTTAACTTCTTTTTTCAATTTAAAATATCTGGACTGGAGAACTTTCAAAAACCGTGTTTAGACATGGCCCCAAACGCTGTTCTCTGTGAGATGTTGGCGTGGGACATGTTGCTAATCATTGATAAAGCAGCTGGAGGAAAATGGATGTTTTGATAACTAGCGAAGCCTAAGGTATTGCTCGTACCTGGAGGGGCGGCTCGGGTGCCCTGGGGGGACGGCGGAACAAGCCTGGTGACAGCAGCCCCCACTCCCTGCAGGGTTTTCCATTTTAACCCGGAATGAAACTGCCGTCTCGTGTACAGAACACGACTCCCTCCTGATCATTCCCTGCCGCGGAGCGGTGCTGACCTGTATGCGTGTTTACATGTAAACATTTACTCTTCCCAACGGCCCCTGCGTCGTACAGGGAGGCCTTTGGAATCCAGCGTCTTCTGTAAATACAATAATAAGGCGACAGCTGGACGTTTCTGAGCGGCACCCGGTTTTCTAGCCTCGGTGAGATGTTAGTGGGGTTCTCACTGTTCTGCTAAGTAGACAAAGCTACGACCAAGGAGTTAGGCAGAAGCGGAGGTACCTCCACATGGGGCATCCATCCTGGAGCGCCCTCTCCCGCTCTTCTGCAGCTGCTGTTCCTGGCAGAGACGTTTCCATCAAACCAGGTCACACAATTCTCATAACGATAAGATGCAGAAATAATTTTCAGTCATGGTACAGGGAAGAAACCTCAGCGGGCGGAGCCAGATCTCACAGAGAGCCTCTGTCAGCTCCAGGGTGCGGGTGCTGAGTGACCTCCGCCCGCAGGCTCCGTCCACCTGCCCACGCCCTCGGGGGGCAGCCTGCACCCCGCACGTGGGTCTCCCCCAACCAAGTCAGTGTCATGGCCTTTGACTCATACCCCGCTGCTTCCGTGAGTGACAGCGAAGGATCGCACGACCGTACCCCTAAATCGCACTGACCAGGCGCTTTCGGCCTCAGCACCACGCAGAGCTTCCTCGGGTTAAAAGATAGGTTTCGGAAAATGCGTGCCCAGGACTAGGTCAGGCGCTGAACTGATACATCACTCCGCCCATTCTCAGTCCCCCCACGGTTTCCACGGGGGGATGGGGATCCCCTTACTACAATACGACGGGCTCACATTGGGGGTATGCTTCAAGCTACGGAGTTTAGTTAACGTCCGACACGGATACCCCCCCGCTCGTTAATCCAGGTCAGGCAGAAGCCGTGGTCTTTGCCCACAAAGGGTTCAGACTTGGCGTCAGTTTCTGAACGGGCCCGTGTGCTGATGTTCAGTGCGCCATCCCCCTCTGGTCTCATCTTCCGACACGCCCCGTCGTGAAACGGGAGCAGCGACATGCTGAGGACAACGTGCACCTCGGCCCGCTGGTGTCTGCAACGTGACTTGCGTCGCCCCCCGCGGAAGCCCCTGCGTGCCCCGGAGCCCCCGGACCTGGTCGCGCTGCCTTCCGGTGCCGCTGGCCTTGGCCCGGGGCGCGGCGCCTGAAATGGCCGGCCTGCCAAATGGTCGCTCTCTCTCTTTCCGGAACAGCCTTTCCAGAATGGGAACAAAAGATTCAGGACACACACCTGTCCGTCTACGACAGCCTGTTCTGGGAATGCAGAGCTCGCGGGAAGCCCAGCCCCTGGTACACCTGGCTGAAGGACGGGGAGCGCCTGGGCCCCCAGGTAAGCACAGGGGCCCCTGGACCCTCCCCTCTGGAGGGAGCGCTGGTCGCTCACGGTGACAGCCAACATTCAGGAGCGCTTAGTGGGCGCCAGGGACCGCAGCGGAGTCTTTATATAAACTAGTTCATTTAATCCTTAAACGGACTCAAAGTAGCTATGAACATTCTCCCCATGTTTCCCTGGGGAAAACGAAGGGCAGAGAGGCCACGTAGCGTCCATAGGTCACGTACTGTCATCGTCACCGCTAACATCGCCCGTGAGACGGGCCAGGTCGTATCCTCATGCCGACCTTGTGAGAGACACGATGGTGATGTATTTATGTAGATGAGAACGCTGGTTTTAGAGAAGTCGAGTCCCTGTCCAGGCCCCCGTAGCTGGCACATGTGAGAATCAGCATTCTGCACGGAGTCTGTCCGATTTGGGGACCCCAGGCCCGCATCATCACCCGGATCTGGCTCTCGTGAGCACTGCCGATTGTGCCTGAACCCACGGGAGACGGGAGAACTCCGGAAGCTTCCCACACGGCCCGCCCCACGCGCTCTCTTCCACGGTACAGAAACGAAGACGGAGCTGTTGCTCCCCCATCCAGTTATCCAGATCATTGGGTTGCTCTCCATTTCACGCGGCACAGCCAGAGACACAGACACCTGTCGTTTGGAAGCTGAGGCTGACGTTGTCTGTGTCGCAGCTTCTGCGGGGTTCTCCCTGCGCCCCTCCGCCCAGGACCTGCGTAGCCCCTGCCTCCGTGTCTGTCTCAGAGGGTGGCCGGAGGCACCGGGAAACACTTCGTTTTGAGCTGTGTTTGTGATGTCACACGACTTCATAACGTGCGCTCAGAACAGCACCCCGACACCCCCGATGGGGCTCTGGAAGAGACCCTGGCTGTTTTAGGGAGCCGCAGGGAAGACGCCAGCTCCTACTTAGGACTCGCTTAGAAGGTTCTCGCGGGAACACATTCATGTCCTTCTCAGACCTTGTGATGGGAAGGCAAGGCACTGTCCGAATTCCGACGTCCGTGTCGGTGTTACAGTCAACCTCACTTTCCAGAATAACTGGCAGGGTGGTGTGTTCCAAATTATCGTATCCTGCATAGCAGACACTGAGCATACATTCCATGCAGGCAATGCCGGTTTTCAAAGAAATGAGGCAACGGAATACCCAGCGGCGCCAGCCGCACAGATGTCGTGGTGCACACTGGCTCCGGGGATGCCCCCATTAACATGCAGCGTCTTCCCACGACCTCTTTCTTATTAGGAAAGAATTCAAGTAGAAAATGGAACACTTACCATAACCATGCTGAATGTGTCTGATTCCGGCGTCTACCAATGTGCCGCCGAAAACAAGTTTCGGGTCATTTACGCCGACGCGGAGTTGAGAGTATTAGGTAAGTCCTTCACTTATACCCTAAAGACTCCGAATGACAGGTTAGCGAGCTATGATTATATTATATTATATTATCTGAGCCCAGTCTTTCTGCGGATTGGAAATCGCTTCCCCTTGAAGGGACGGGACAGGTCTACATGAGCTCTGAGAACAGGCAGGACTCCTGGTGCCGCGGGCCGAGCCTCCCCTCCCCCCCCGGGGCCCCTCCGAAGCTGGGGTTTGGAGGACAGCTCCACAGGGACCCCCCAGGAACGTTTCTCGCTGAGAAAAACTAAAGGTCATGTCCGTGCACAGCGAGTTAACAAGCAGGGACCTTCTCCGTCTCGACGAGAAGTCCGGGCGGAAGGTGAGGAAGGCACAGGACTGGCCATATCTGTTCCTCCCGTTAGAGGAGCAAAGGCCCCTGAGTCCGTCCCCCACGGCCCACACGGCCCTTTCACATTTTGTAGGTAAAGACTGGCCTGAAAGAATCTGACATAGTGACACAGCATTTCTGACTTATTTCAGTGGTATTTCATTGTTTTAGATAGATAGGGAGGTAGGGAGGTAGATAATTGATAGATAGATGATAGATAGATAATAGATGATAGATAATAAATGCTAGATAGGTAGATAGATAATAGGTGATAGATAGGTAGATAGATAATGAATAGATGATAGATAACAGATAATAGATGATAGATAATAGATAGATGATAGATAGATAACAGGTGATAGATAATAGATGATAGATAGATAACAGGTGATAGATAATAGATAATAGATAGATAACAGGTGATAGATAATAGATGATAGATAGATAACAGGTGATAGATAATAGATGATAGATAGATAACAGGTGATAGATAATAGATAGGTGATAGATAACAGGTAATAGATAATAGATAGATGATAGATAACAGGTGATAGATAATAGATAATAGGTGATAGATAGATAACAGGTGATAGATAATAGATGATCGATAGATAACAGGTGATAGATAATAGATGGTAGATAGATAACAGGTGATAGATAATAGATAGATGATAGATAACAGGTGATAGATAATAGATATTAGATAGATAACAGGTGATAGATAATAGATAATAGATAGATAACAGGTGATAGATAATAGATAATAGATGATAGATAGATAACAGGTGATAGATAATAGATGATCGATAGATAACAGGTGATAGATAATAGATGATAGATAGATAACAGGTGATAGATAATAGATGATAGATAGATAACAGGTGATAGATAATAGATAGATGATAGATAACAGGTGATAGATAATAGATATTAGATAGATAACAGGTGATAGATAATAGATAGATGATAGATAACAGGTGATAGATAATAGATATTAGATAGATAACAGGTGATAGATAATAGATAATAGATAGATAACAGGTGATAGATAATAGATAATAGATGATAGATAGATAACAGGTGATAGATAATAGATGATAGATAGATAACAGGTGATAGATAATAGATAGGTGATAGATAACAGGTAATAGATAATAGATAGATGATAGATAACAGGTGATAGATAATAGATAATAGATAGATAACAGGTGATAGATAATAGATAATAGGTGATAGATAGATAACAGGTGATAGATAATAGATGATCGATAGATAACAGGTGATAGATAATAGATGATAGAGAGATAACAGGTGATAGATAATAGATGATAGATAGATAACAGGTGATAGATAATAGATAGGTGATAGATAACAGGTAATAGATAATAGATAGATGATAGATAACAGGTGATAGATAATAGATAATAGATAGATAACAGGTGATAGATAATAGATAATAGGTGATAGATAGATAACAGGTGATAGATAATAGATGATCGATAGATAACAGGTGATAGATAATAGATGGTAGATAGATAACAGGTGATAGATAATAGATGGTAGATAGATAACAGGTGATAGATAATAGATAATAGATAGATAACAGGTGATAGATAATAGATAATAGATAGATAATAGATGATAGATAGATAGATAATAGATAGATAACAGGTGATAGATAATAGATAATAGGTGATAGATAGATAACAGGTGATAGATAATAGATGATCGATAGATAACAGGTGATAGATAATAGATGGTAGATAGATAACAGGTGATAGATAATAGATGGTAGATAGATAACAGGTGATAGATAATAGATAATAGATAGATAACAGGTGATAGATAATAGATAATAGATAGATAATAGATGATAGATAGATAGATAATAGATAGATAACAGGTGATAGATAATAGATAATAGGTGATAGATAGATAACAGGTGATAGATAATAGATGATCGATAGATAACAGGTGATAGATAATAGATGGTAGATAGATAACAGGTGATAGATAATAGATAATAGATAGATAACAGGTGATAGATGATAGATAGATAGATAATAGATAGATGGTAGATAACAGGTGATAGATAATAGATGACAGACAGTGACTTAACGATGTTTAAAACATTTTGTTTTCAGCTTCAGCTCCTGACTTCTCCAAAAATCCCATTAAAAAAACCTCAGTCATTCAAGTCGGCGGGGACATCGCCATCGCGTGCAGGCCCCAGGCCGCGCCGAGGGCCACCGTCTCCTGGAGGAGAGGGACGCAGGGCCTGCAGCCCAGCCGAAGGTCAGTGCACCTCTGTGCATTCTCACAGTTGGGGGTGTTTGGTCGTATAATGTCTTGCACATCTTTGCGGCTCACGGGGTCTCCCAGAACGCGCCCCCGGCGGTGACCACAGCTGCTCACCCGGAGGTGCGGCCTGTCCATGAGGCCGGGACACAGCAGGACCTGAGCCCTGCTTCTCCATCTCGGACGCGGTAGATTCGGTCATGGCTGGGAACAGATATATTTTTAAATCGCCTTTACGACCTTCTCCTTGATCTGTGGTGGAGATTTCTCCCCGACTCCGCCGGCTGAGAGGTGGTCAGAAGGACGTTAACAAGGAGGGAGACCCTCACGCTCACACACCGGCCTGGTGGTTTTTAGAGTCACACAGGTGTCCCCCGATGTCACCCCGTGAACCCACGCAGAGAAGGAGGCCCTTTCCTCCCCTGCAGCGTGGAGACCCGTCCCGAGGAGGCCTGACGGCAGCGCAGGTGGTCTCCGTGGAGAGCAGGTTCCACCCCGCCTCCGGGCGCCCGCGCCCTGGGCAGCGACCCCGCGTGCTGCCGTCCACCCGAGGCCGCGGGCCACCGCTGAGGGTGAGCCACGGTGCCGAAGGTGTGAAGACGGTCGCGCGGGTCTCTCTCTGCATCTTACGTGTCATGGATTTCCAGGCCGACCGGGCCAGGCAGGGGACAGTGACCGGACGGGCCAGGGAAAAGCCGGGACCGTAAGGGCGTGATAACAATGGCAGCCTGTCGGTCTGGGGGCCAGGACTCGAGGACGGAAGAGGGACGTCTGCCCTGAGAGGGACAGAGCGACACATTCTGCGGGTGGGGTGCTGGGGGCTGGCAGACCAGGGCTGCAGAACTGTGCATCTCGGGGCGAGCTGGGCCTCTGGATGTTCGCGTTGAGTGCCCACAGGCTGGACGGGGGCCACCGCTCTGCCGTTTCGGCCCTAGGGTCGCACCTGTGGCCAAGCAGGGAGGAGGGCAGGTGGGGGCAGACCAGTGAGCGGCCCGCGGTGACCGTGTGGAGGGCTGTGCCTGGCCTGTCTGCAGCTCTCAGACCTCCACAGACGTGGTGCCCGCAAGAGGAGCCCCTCCCCCCGGCTCCCCGGCTCCCTGCCTGTGCCCTGAGACTTGGCACAGAGCCCAGCTCAGTGGGCACCTGTGCAATGAATGAGGCGAAGGATGAGGAGGTGGGTGTAACCAGCCTGGGAGACCGACTGTTCTGGAAGAGATGCCTCCAGACACAGGGACAGACCCCCCCATGAGGAGAGGTTGTCCTGACCAGGCCTGTCCTCCAGCGGCTGCCCCTGGGCGATGCGGGGAGCTGCCCTGACCCTCCCTGCAGATTCCTCCAGAAGTCTCTTTCTCTCCCCAAACCCACGCTCCGCCCTCCTGCACTGGGGGCGGGACCGATGCCTCGCTCCGCCCCACTGGCCCAGGTGACCTGAAGGCTCATGGTGGCCCCTCCCACCACCCCTCAGGGCCCAGAGGTGCAGCAGAGTGTGGGAGACAGAGGAGGAGGGTTTGGATACAGGTAAGAAAACTAGAGGGGAAAAAAGTTCTGAAGAGTACAGAGAAAACTTAAAAAAACAGTCCTTCAGGTTTTAATGTTGTGTTTCTCCCTCTGGAACGAATCTGGGTCACTCTTAGCCCAACAGTCACTCAGAGCAGTGCCGGACTTGGCGTCTCCTGTGCCCAGGAAGGGTCCCTGTGACCTGGGCTGGCCGGCCCTCCCCCCCGTGCAGGTGGCCAGCCGCTGCCCCAGGGCGTCCTGGGCATGAGACCATCCTGAACCTACAGCCTGGGGTGGGGACAGATGGAGCCCCAGCGGCCTGCGGTGGCCACAGCCCGACATCTGCCAGGCCCAGATGACCCTCTGCCGTCCTCTGAAAGGTCACACAGTGCTGGGGGCTGTGTGCCTGGCCTCCCTCCGCTGTCCCGGGCTCAGGGGTTCCATCCGCGCGGAGACCCTGGCTCCCGGAAGGCTCTGTCTGTTCCCCCAAAGGCTGCGCGTGGCCACTGAGCGGCAGGTCAAACCTGGCATTGATAGAGGAGGAGGAGGAAGGGAGCAGGGGGGGGGAGGGAGGAAGGGAGCAGGGAGGAGGGGGGGAGGGAGTGTTTTAGTTCTTGACCTTGGAAATACCTGTATGGGGAAAAGTACATTTTTATTCTCCATTTTAAAACTGCTGTATGGTCCTATCGACTTTGAAAGTTCATTGTCACTCACTCGTGTAACTACCTGGAGCGGTTGCAAGGTCTCTGACGACACGTATTCAAAGGCTCTTACTCAGTGCCGACTGTTAAAAAACGGTGCATAAAAATATACATGTATTTCTTGTTTGACAACCTCCACTCGTACGTGGATGGGGTCGGCTTCGTCAGGTTAAGCGACAGGGCTGCAGCCTAGGCCAGGCTCCCGCCCGGGCAGGCAGAGGTCCCCGGCTGAGGGCCCCAAACACCTGCTCGCTCCCTTTTCTGAGGGGCTGTGGTCACAGGGTTTGACCGGATTTCCCATCAGTTGCGCTCAGGATGTGCTTCTGCTGCTTCTTGGGGGCTGGCGCAGGGCGGATGCCGGGCTGTTTTAAGAGCCTGCGGCCCACGGGGGGGGGGGGGCTGTCTACACTGCTGCCGGGGGGCGGGGCAGCGGTTCCCCCGCAGAAACGGGGAGGTGGGGTCAGACTCCAGGCAGCGGGCCTCCTGCGGGGCCCCAGGGTCCTAGACACCGAGGGCATCTTCCCTGGAGCCCCGTCCTGCAGAAAGGGCCTGAGCTGGAGACAGCAGAGGGGTGCTCCTTCGGGAGAGTGGGGTGCTCTACACACAGCCCCACCCCGGGAAGTGGAGAGCGGGGTCTGGTCCCAGTCCTGTCCGTGGCGAGTGGCCTGACCCTCGGCAAAGCCACGGGCCGACTCCCGTGCTCTAGGGTCACTGTTCCCAGGATTTATTGAAGCTGAACTAACATGGAAACAACTGCAGGAAGCGCTGGGCAGGGCCCCGGGTGATGCCGGAGCAGGAATTGAATGTTCGCAATCAAGGCAAAGGCCACCCAGCAGGTGCAACTGCAGTCTGTCCTGCAGTGTGTCCTGCGGTGTGTCCTGCAGTGTGTCCTGCAGTGTGTCCTGCAGTGTGTCCTGCAGTGTGTCCCGCGGTGTGTCCTGCGGTGTGTCCAGCAGTGTGTCCTGCAGTATGTCCTGCGGTGTGTCCAGCGGTGTGTCCAGCAGTGTGTCCTGCAGTCTGTCCCGCAGTCTGTCCCGCAGTGTGTCCTGCAGTGTGTCCGGCGGTGTGTCCGGCGGTGTGTCCTGCGGTGTGTCCGGCGGTGTGTCCTGCAGTGTGTCCCGCAGTCTGTCCTGCAGTCTGTCCCGCAGTGTGTCCTGCAGTCTGTCCCGCAGTCTGTCCCGCAGTGTGTCCCGCGGTGTGTCCTGCGGTGTGTCCAGCGGTGTGTCCTGCGGTGTGTCCTGCGGTGTGTCCTGCGGTGTGTCCCGCAGTGTGTCCAGCAGTGTGTCCTGCAGTATGTCCTGCGGTGTGTCCAGCGGTGTGTCCAGCGGTGTGTCCTGCGGTGTGTCCTGCGGTGTGTCCTGCGGTGTGTCGTAGCCCCGACAACTTGCACAGGTGACCGTGGCCCAGCCAAACGGGTAGCTGAGAGGTGTCCACACAGCTGATGTGCCTGCTTGGACAGAGAAGAGGCTACAGAGAGCCTGGTGGAGGACCCTCAGCATCCCTGGAGAGAGCCCCCCTGTAGAGAGCACCCCTGGAGAGAGCCCCCCTGGAGAGAGCACCCCTGGAGAGAGCACCCCTGGAGAGAGCCCCCCTGGAGAGAGCACCCCTGGAGAGAGCCCCCTGGAGTGAGCCCCCCTGGAGAGAGCCCCCCTGGAGTCAGCCCCCCGAGAGAGAGCCCCTCTGGAGAGAACACCCCGTCATAATTCCGGTTCTAGGCCCAGCAGCAGCGCCAGCCCCCCTGGATCAGACGTTAAGTGAATCTTTATTTGCCGGGCGGCTAAGCCAAAGGTCACCAGAGAGTACTTTGATTTGTGTGTCTACCTGCCTTTTTGAAGTGAAACCCGAAGCTCATTTAACATTTAACAGGCCCATGATGTGTTGTTCATTCATTCATAATATTTATTTTTATTTTATTTTATTTAAAAAAATTTTAAAAATATTTCTTCATTGATTTTAGAGAGAGAGGAAGGGAGAGGGAGAGAGAGATGGAAACATCGATGAGAGAGACTATCGACTGGCCGCCTCCTGCACGCCCCCCACTGGGGATCAGCCCACAACCTGGGCAGGTGCCCTGACCGGGAATCGAACCAGCGACCTCTTGGTGCAGGGTCGACGCTCACCCACTGAGCCACACCAACCAGGCTCACTCCATAATATTTAATGAGCACCTATTATGTCCCAAAAACTATACTAGAGATAAATGCTGTGGATAAAATGTCCAACAACTGTACCACACACAATGTCCTTTCTAAGAAAGTATTTTTCTTTAAAGTTAATGGAGTGCCTGGCCGGTATGGCTCAGGGGTTGGGTGTTGGCCCTGCACCAAGAGGTCACCAGTTCAATTCCTGGTCAGGGCACATGCCCAGGTTGTGGGCCCGATCCCCAGTGGGGGGCGTGCAGGAGGCGGCCAGTCGATGTTCTCTCTCATCGATGTTTCTCTCTCCCTCTCCCTTCCTCTCTCTCTAAAACCAATAAAGAAAAATAAATAATAAAGTGAGCTGAAGTCTGTGGAAATGCCCACAGTCATCCCCACTTAAAAACTAATAAAGTTAATGGAGTCAGAAGGTCTGGGTTCAGGTCCCAACACTGCAGCCAGTCCTGAGCTGTGCGGCTCCTCCGTGGAGCCCTTTAGAAATGGTGAAGGTGGTGCTGGTCTGTCCCAGGTGGCTGCATGAGCCTCGGACGCAGGGCGGCGTGGGAGGTGGTGATCGGTGCCCACCGGGCACACCGGGCACGTGCACTGCTGTGGTGCAGCCTTAGGAGAGTCCCAGAGCGCATCCACCCCTCGCCGGCCGGGG